AATTTCGACCACCTGGGGTTCTTCAACGTGCACCCAAATCTGAGCACACGGGCCTACATTATTTCCGCCTCCATCGGAAATGCAGCCATCGCAGCTACCGCAGCCAGGATTCAATCCGCTGATCTGCGGGCCAGCAGCCGAGTACCTTGTATAGCCACTAGATCACCGCGGCGACATGACTGCTGTTGCAGGCAATGCCATCGAAATGTAATAGTCTGCGCACGAATCGCAGATGCGAAGCTTGTCTCTCTGACTGAACACACAGAAATACCTCAGCCCTTGTTGATAGGCGACTGCACATGAACAAGCTAACGTAAGCAAAATAAGGAAGTTGTTTCGCATGCTGTATTGTTTTAGGAGGGCTATAAAACAGAGAGGAGAAAACTCCTTTGACACCCCCAGCAAACCCAAAGAAAATTCATCGCTCTTCTTTCAGCCTAATCCCGGAGACCTTCGAAGCTATGCTTACGGTTATCGGTATATTCCAGTGCGTTCGCGGGACATTCAGTGATGCACAGGCATGAAAAGGCGCCTTGACAAAGATAGATCGAAACGTGAGCCAACCTTTGCGAAACCCTTATTGATTGCTGTTCATACAGCCTCTATAGCACACTGTGTTCCAACCTGTCCACTCCCCTTCATTATAAATTCATCAGGATGTGTGCATGAGACTATAAGTTCTGCAAAGTCGAGAAACACCCTCCGTCACGAGGTGCAGGATTACACCAAGACCCTCCGGACAACAAGCCTCCCTGTCTTCCTTTTTTCTCGTTTCTCTCACTCTCGATAACTCTCACGAAAGCACCTGCCCGAGACTAGCAGCGAGCCCATCTGACTGACGAGCCTATCTCCTGAGCTGGTGAACAGGGTTGGGATGTGAGCTCAAGCATTTGCCTGCCTGCATGGTATGTGGCTGCCTACATCCGGGAATTAGCGGGACTGACAACTGGCCAGAACGTGTGATTAGATTTCGGTAGAAGTGAAAACACCATGAGATATAGCGACGGATTAATGCATCATGTTTCGCTTTGCGAGTATTCTTTTTTTAATCTCTAAACTGCCTTTAAAAGTAACAAGAAAAATGGTAAGTCGCGAAGCTCAGCGGAAGAGCCTTGAAGCTGGATTATGTAGTAGATTCCCTTTGCTGCACGAGTTTAATTATTACAACATCAATTATTCGTAAATATCGCGTCAAACAAAAAAAAAAGAACAGCCCGTAAAAGTTTACCTTTCTGTACGTCGTTACGAAGTCTGATGCTGCCATCCGCGCCATAATCAGTCGAAAGCATTAAGGCATTCATATTGTCGTCTAGCCCCGCTCTATTTAGCGCTGTTAACGACGTATAAGGGATTCCACCGGTGGGAAGCGGCACTACCTTCGGGGTAGTCAGTGGAACATGTCGAGCTGCTGCGCATGCACGCGTACCGAGTACTCACACGCGCAGCCTTGGAACACGAACTGCTCTGGGCCAGACTGTTCGCAGCATCTGTGCACATGACTTCACATTAGCCGGAGATAGCATAGTTCCTACTACAAATCTTCCACATCGTTTTCGGCGTTATTATTATATGAATAAAGGAAGTAAGTGCAAATTTAAAGACTCGTTTTCTTTATGAGACACAATCATAGAACTAACATCACGGAAATAGCATCATTGTTTCTTAGTTCTCATTAACACGTGTGATTAGACACTGTGACTGACATGCTGTCCGTTGCGCTAATGAAAAGTGGCACCATAAAAATTTCTTTTTAATCTCTTTATAGCTTGTTCTTAGAAATAAACTTAATGCAATAACAACAAACTTCTGATGAAGTGCACACCCAAAGCCTGTGCTTTGGGTGTGCACTTCTTCTAGACAAATTGCAGCAAATTCACATCCGTGGCATTGAGATCTCACACCTCCTTGCAAAATAAGCGTATTTGCTGCACTTCCATGTATTTAAGGAACGTAGCCAGTTCTTGTAATCAAGAGCACATTGCTCGTAGTACAAGAATGAAAGAACATATGCGGACACTTTTCCGGCTCGAAAAGGCACGAAAATGTCTGGAGCAGGCATATACGGTCATCATCGAGTGCGAGTTGTTCAATTAAACGGCTAACGAACTACAGCGGTGCCAAGTTCAAGGCTCGTTAGTCACCTTATCCCGCGAGAGTAATTTGTGACAGCAACATTCTGTGCCAGAGTTGCCGGCTGTAGGGTGACTCAATAAATTGCATTAGGCTTCAATGTGCGCGCTAGCAGAAGACGGACGATTGCGTACGTGCGTAAATTAGATATTAGGCTTCGTGCCTTTTTAGCACTCTCCTCACACTTGCACCGTGTCAGAGGTATTGAAAACGACTGACTGTGAGAAACATCAAGTCGAGCGAATGTGGTACAGCTTATAGTAACAATTCAAGACTATTTCTAGCAAGCTTCTTAAACTTACACTCCTTGTAGTGAAGCCATTGTTTTGGAGGGCAGTAACCGTATAACAATATTTGCACTCAGTGATAAAACCAGTTTGTACTGAGAAAACTGAAGCCTCAATTCTTCGCTTCTGAAACTTCGCAAGACTATATATGCTATCGTCGAGATAAAATCAATGGCGGATTTACGTTCCAGCATGCATTACGAATTCAGAGCGAAAGACGGCGACTGGCTAAGCACTTCTGGCTGTCGGTGACTTAAAAAAAGCCGAGTCTGCATTAATGTTGAACCTTGAAGCTATATTTAGGTGCACCATAAAGTGGGTATTCCACGGGGCGGTTAGAAATGCAGCGCTGCGATTTGACATCGCAAGCTTTCCCGGACCCCTGCATACTTGATAGTTGCACTAAAGCAAGCTGCGGACCGGTTTTTATTCGAGAGTTTTGCCGAAGTAGCGAGTCTGACCGATATACGAAGTCCTTGCTATAGCACTGCCCTTTTGACTCTTACAACAGTGACTACAGAAAACATGGTTATCAAGGCAAACAACTACTAATTTTACCTGATACACGACATTCAAGGTATACCGACGCGCGCGGCCGCTGATTCTACACTGTCGAAGGCCACGAACATTCGCCTCAGCTGTTTTTAAGTCAGCGATAGTCAGCTCGGGTCGTTGGTGCCGAGAGGACGAACATTCCTAGTTGTTTTTCGCCTGGAAGCACCTGCTTGATGGTTCAGGGCGTATCTCGCAGGTTGTGATGCAGAAATTAGCGATGCTGGCTATTTTTTTTTGTTTATGGACGGTAGTGGTGAACCGTCCAAAGATTACAGAGCGGCGCGTGGCAGTGCGACATCAGCGAAGCGCAGAGATAACCGGTGGATATATGAGACGTCACACTGCACAGGATGCCCATGTGCAGTGTGGGCGTGTCTTTATCGTGTTTTTGTAACAGCAGTGCTGCCCCTATATATATATATATATTTATATATATATATATATATATATTTATATATATATATATATATATATATATTTATATATATATATATATATATATATTTATATATATATATATATATATATATTTATATATATATATATATATATATATATTTATATATATATATATATATATATATATATAGTCTAGTAGATCCTCCGTGAGCGGTCACAACGTGGTTTATTTCGACGTTTCGGCCTAGAGTCTGGCCTTCATAGGCCGAAACGTCGAAATAAACCACGTTGTGACCGCTCACGGAGGATCTACTAGACTATATGCAACGCTACGGCCTACGGCACTCAACCACCATGCCTGCCTATATATATATATATATATATATATATATATATATATATATATATATATATATATATATATATATATATATATGAAGAATTTTCTTGTAAGACAGTATTAATGAAAACTAACAGACTAACAGACAAGAATGCAAGGAAGATATAGGCATGAGCTAATTGTAATGTAAATGGGAAGAAAGAAGTCTTGCCGTGGGCAAGAACCAAACCTGTAACCTCCGAATAACGCGTTCGATGCTCTACCAACTGAGCTACCACGGCGTCGATCCCCTCATCCCCTTTATTGGGTATAGGTGTGAATTAAATGTGGGAGTGTCAGTCGGCGCCACCAGCAGCCATGGCGGTGAGTGTAGAACGCTCTTGATCAGTCTGTTTGGCGTCACGTTGAACGTGGAATTATTGCGAGCCGGCACCTGACGCAGTAATATTCGTTACAACCTTACACTGTTCTCCATGTCTCGTTGAATCGTAATTGTTTTATTTTGCATCCAAACAGGTAATGTATTTCACTGAGATGTGTGTTTCAAATTTGTGACCTGACAAGTCTCATGCCTAACTTTCTATGTTACCCCTCCCCCCACACGTTATTTAATACCCCAAGAGGGGCTTTTAAGGTAAAAATAGATGATGATGATGATGATTATGGATAATCCCTCGTATACTATCTAAAGACACCAAGTTTGCCCGAACGAGACCCTCGTTTATGAAGGAAGAAAGGAAGTGTATACTTAAGGCCTCGTCTTTTTCTTGTTAGACACGATAGTATAGAGATATAACAGACAATGATGCAAGGAATGCATAGGAAAACTAATTAGAACTAAATGTAATGTAAATGTGAAGAAAGAAGTTGATGAAAACATGGCTTGCCGTGGGCAGGCACCAAACCTACGAATTGCACATTCTCATTGCAATTAGGTGTAACAACTTCCCGTACACTTTTCTTGCATGATTGTCTGTTGCATATCATTTCGTCAACTGCGCCATTGTAATGAATGGAGAGAGCAAGAGACAACGCCTGCCTTCCAGGCCGGCTGTTTTAACCTGACTTCATTCTTCCTCTGCTTCGCAGACTACCCCATGGCGCGTGCCCGCGACCCTGTGGTGCTGTAATCCTTAGAATGTACATATTTCTGAAGCGTATATGACGAAACAGTTGTGAATGAGCCCTTAATTTGCGCTTCGTGATGTGCCCACACTTCCACTTACAGCGCTAATATTAGAGACATTGTATAACAAACTGACACGTATTGTAGCGCTTCCTACACCTACCTTCATTGTCCTCCACGTCAACTTGCGTCCAGGCTGCACTAGCTGCTTCGGAGGGCTCGAACACGCACAGCAACACTATTACACACAGCGTGATGGCTAAGGCAATCTCCCATCCACGGCGTCCAATTTGCACAGGAAAAGACAGCGGTCGAACGGCCCTACAGGGCATACTCCGCGTGCACATGTCGTCCTCTCGCTCGCGAGCGGCCGTCGATTTCATCTTCGCACAATACCGCCGTTCACGAGCACACAAACACCCACACGCGCAAGAATATCGAAGTCCCCTTTCACGCGCTGGCTCGTCCGACGGCTACCCGCGTTTCGTATTCCTCTTCAGCCGGCAGGTCGCGGTTTCCACTTGCCACTCAAACACTCCTTTGTCGTCTCTATCCACGTTCACGTCATGAACCACAGCCGTGTCGCGTCGAACCACGACTAGGCTGTGCTGGGCAGTTTTCGCTGGCAGGCGGGCGTCTTACGGCATGGCATACGGGCGGACCGGTGTGCCCGGCGGAGCGGCGACCACGACTGAGAAGCGACGAGACAGGCGGGTAAGCATTCTTCAGTCGGCTTCTTCCTTTCTGGAGAGCTGACGAGAGACCGCTAGGTGTGCGTGAGTGTGTGCGAGGGAAGCCGTTCGCCACTCTCGCCCCTCGGCGGCCCTTCTGCTCGGCGCCTACTCTCCCGCCTTCGTCACATCGCGCTCTTGTGCTGTTGGCTCACGCTCTGACGCCTAGATAAGTTATCGAAGCTTGCAGGTATGCGCGGGGCGCAATCTCGCTCGTTTCCTCTTTCGTTCAGCGGCTGGGTTCGGCGATCTGTACGGACGGTGGTTCGTTTGTTTCGGCGAGGCCCTCCCGATTTTCCCCGATTATCCGGATGTTTCTGGTTTGACTGAAATTTAAGGATGCAATAGTCGCATTCAAATGAGGGTCACCAGTGATATCAGGCAATAAGTGGTCCATTCTTGCGCAATTTTCTACGACGGAAGCTGCTGTGAGATCATAACAGTATTCGATTGATGGAATTGTTGTCCACCCAGGCCGGTGAACGCAACCGGGATCACTTTCAGAGAGGAAAAAATCGAGGACCGAGCAGGATTTGAGCGCAGGCAAAACATTTTGATCGAGAATAACTTAAGCAATTCTTGATGTGTCTTTAATATCTTAAATTAGCAAACGGCAATGCAGACGCTCCTGTTGCTGAGACCTAGAGAAGAAGCCCCAAAGAGAAGAATATTTTCAGAATTAACAGCAATCTTAATTTTCGCAATAAAATTTAGATGTGTTTTTTTTTATATCGCTGGTGAAACGTGCGATTGAAGTCAGTCACCACGTCGTCTTCGTCCCACACTCCCTCTTGGTGGTCACAGCGCTGTCCGGTGCCCTCGTTTTCTTTACCCGCAGCTGACCTGTGGTGTCAGGTTACGGCTGGAAGGGCGCGCTCAGAGCTCGCCCGAGAGGCCTCGAAAAAAAAGACAGTTTTCCCGGGCTTGGGGACCCCATACCAATCTTCCTCTCCTTAGTACTCTTATCATAATTTACTTTTCAACAGTTTCTCCACGGAATGAAGAATAATGGCGCATTTGGCACTTTCAAATTTCAAAAAATTGCGATGGCTTGTGGCTTAGTAGATACTTAGCAACTCTATTTCATTCGAGAAAAAGTTTTAATCCGAAGAGATCCACCCCAAGAGAGTTTACAACCACCTCTACAAAGGCCAGCCCTGATGTTTCTGCTAAGACGATGCTGCGCGATTCGCGAAGGCTTTGCATTATTTATTTATTTATTTATTTATTTATTTATTTATTTATTTATTTATTTATTTATTTTGCTTCTGCGCTAGTTATGAAGCCAACAATGAGCATTAAAACAAATGAAACATACATTATTTGCCCCCTTCTGACGCCAGAAGAAGTTCTGATAAGACTCGTTGATAGCGTGCCAGCTGATTTAGGCTGTCATTGCCCTTTATTTTTACGGGCAGCGGAACTTCAATGAACTCTCTCCCCTGCTTCGTCCCAAGTGGTTTGGAACTAAACATACCGTGGTATATGCAGATGATATAGCTCACAACCGACTCAATAGATCCATACAACGACCGAGAAACTCAGCGCCCTTTTGCGGACTTCTGGAGTTCGTTCACCTGCGCTGCTGACTGCTACTATGGTTGCCACTGCTGTCGACATTTCGCCCAATTGGCCAAATTAAGAAGTTCACGGTAAATGAAAATTATTAATGCCGACATGGCAAATTTTCGGCGATTTTCAGTTTCGGTCATGACTGAGTTATGTTCTATACTCAGTGTCTTCAAAACGAACGGGCGAAATGTTTTCTAGTTTTCGTAGTTTTGACCGACCAATAGAAGGCACACTTTACGCGCAATTCAGTGTACGTCTGTCCTGTTTCTGGTTTGTAGCTCCTGAATTCACCTCAATCCTTGAGGCACTGGTGCGTTTGCGAGCAACCTCCCAGCAAAAGTTAGCTAAGCGGACTGCTTCGCGTGCCATGCCGCGGGGCGGTGGTAGTACACTAAGCTTATTTTACGTGCTTTAAACATTTTAATCTTCTCTAAAGTTTCGCTTCTGAAGTGGCTATTGGTGACGATTAAGCCACGTGTTCAAACCAGCCTCACTTGCCCTGATGAGCTTGTTGGCTTCTTCACTGCTGTAGGGCCCCCTTATTTAGTATGTAGAGTTTAAATTTATTGTAACATACTTTCTAGGTCCGTCAAGAAGTCGGCTCTTTTGGGCATCCTTCAGAAACTGCGCTGAGGTGAATGTAGCGTAAGCGTGCCCCCCCCCCTCCCCTCCGAAAGTGTGGTGTGGGCATTGGAACGGTAGCGTAGAACTTTTGAATTCATATTCTTTGTCTCTTAATGAAGTTTCTTGATTATTGGGCACGTTATTCTACTGCGATGACATTCTCCAAGTTTGCAGGAAGGCTACGCACGCAGCCTCTCTTTTCGTAGCGACTGGTTCGTTCATATTCGTACAACTGAAACCCTCCCAAACATCTGTTATCAGGCGCTATCATTCAGGGACGCTGCTGGTGTATGCAGGCCCTTTCTCAGTGGTTCCATGGTGAATCGGGTGATGTGACTGGCATTGGAAAACATCGGTCTGATGTAGGGGTTATGGATGGTACTGCACTTTTGGGGCTATAGTTAGCAATTTTTATTGCCAGAAACGTCGCACATGTACAGTGGCGCCATTTTTGGCGAACTTAGAAAACAAATGGCAACTTTTGGAGATTTTTTAGAGATTTTTTTAGAGATTTTTCGCCCGTAGTTTGGTGGATTTACCTCAAAAGTCAGTGGCAACCCCGACTGCTACCGGCAATGCGCAATTTAAAATGCATATTGCACATTCGAAGCTTGTCATCGCTTCACGCACATTTAACTGTAATGACCAGCTATTATAAACACCGAATAAACTACAACTATATATATATATATATATATATATATATATATATATATATATATATATATATATATATATATATATATATATATATATATATATATATATATATATATATATATATATATATATATATATATATATATATATATAGACAAGGCACAAAAGGAACGAAAAGACAGGGAAACCGCAGCGATTATCCAGTCTTTCCGCTCTCTTTGTGCCTAGTCTTCGTGTGCTGCTTTACAAATAAACACGAACTATACCTACTTTCGACGCTACTGAGTATAGGCAGCAGCAATGTGCAGCGATGACTGGCTAGCGGACCAGCAGGCCACCGTCCAGGTATGGTCTGAGAGTATACGATTTGTAGCTCGCTCTTAGTTCATATATCTCAGCGGTCGCGCATCAACGCGAATGGCCGTTTGTAGTGTGTACTCTAAGTTTTTCCGTGTCGCGTGCTGGCACAGATTATAATCCTCTCGATAGTTGATGGAGGGCAAACAACGCGATGCTTATGTGTTCTACTTGCATGCCTTTATGTGAGTGTATAATTTCCTCCTATCACGCACTCACAAACGTGTACTTACGGTAGCATAGTAGGTCATCGGCACTGACACTAAGAGCGTCCGCGCAATGTCGATATGTATGCTATGCCAGTACAGTTGTAAGCGCATTATCACTAAAGCAGTGATATATATATATATATATATATATATATATATATATATATATATATATATATATATATATATATATATATATACGTGTTATGTGTAGTTATAAGAGTATGCACACGCACACGTGGCCTTTTGACTACTTATTTGACCACTGGTTTATGTGTGCAATTTTTACTTTTTTTCTCTCTCTTCTTTCTCCCGGCTGGACGATGGCATAAAAGCACATCAGAGCATATATACTAACGTTTGTCTGGTGAAGATCGGTCGCCGATCGAAACGTCACCAATAAACAGTTTGTTAGAAGGGTATACTTATTGTCCCATATAAATAAAATAAAAAATATATATATATAATGTGATGTGACGCAGTTTATTGACGCTGGACATCAGGGAAGCTCGACAAACGTTAACCGTGAAGCATCGAGGAGCGGCAGGCGTCAAGCAGCCAAAATACGGCCAAGCGCTAGCTCGAGTGTGGTGCTGCTACTGACGCTGGTGCTTGTTTGCTTGCTCGTGTCTTTCGTCGTCGTCTTTCATTCCCTACGTTTGCCCACGGGGAATAGAGATGCCACCCTGGCGGATTTAGGTCTTGGTAGTATAGGTGGGTCATAATAGGGCTTGATGCGAGAGACGTGGACGATTTCTCGGTCTTGACGGCGCAAGTCGTCAGGTGGTGCCAAGGGCTCAACCTCGCAATTGACGTGAGAAGTCCGAACAAGAATGCGGTAGGGGCCGTGATAACGTGGAGGACAACTAGCTCAGAGCAGAGCGCAACAAGCTTAATGCCCTCATAACAAAAATTGTCAAGAGAGCCGTCGGGCTGCCCGTCAGAACGCATACCCAGGACCTCCTTCGGCTCGGCATACACGACACCATGAACGAGATAGCTAAGGCTGAGGAACGGGCCCAGCTAGCTCGGATCTCTACCACACCGGCCGGAAGGCGGATACTAGAAGAACTTGGACTCGCTCCCACCGAAAAATTGGCAAGTAACACACAATTACCCAGAGAAATAATGGAGAAGCGCGTCGTTGCTCCACTGCCACGCCATGTCCATCCAGTGCACAACGTAAGTCGTCGCAAGGCAAGAACGGCGACGATACTTCAGCAAATTCCCAAGAACAAGATTGAGGCTAGCTTCGTAGATGCCGCCGAGTACCAAAATGGCAATAATTTTGCGGTTTCCGTTGTGGACACGCAGGGCAAGATCATCAACTGTGCCTCGATCCTGACGACGGAGACCGAGGTGGCCGAGCAAGAGGCCATTGCACTCGCCATGCAAAGCGGTCGGAGAGATGGAGTGTATAGTGACTCCAAAGCAGCCGTAAGGGCATTTCAGAAAGGCCGGGTGGCACGGCAAGTAGTTCATACTCTGAGAGGCCCCCGAAACAGTGACAGCGCCACACAGAGCATATTTTGGTTCCTCTCGTCGGGGCAATTGAGGGGGTTGCTCTGAACCTTAACAAATCTGTCCATGAGGCTGCGCGTGGCTTCACCGACCGCGCTGCCCTCGGATCGGGCGACTTTCCCCTTGGACACTTGGATGCTCTTGGCACGCACACATACATAACAAAATTCATTTATTTAGAAAGAAGGCTCCTCCCGCCACCTCATACCAACATAACAGACCGATTGCGGTCACGCTCCGACTCCTGCAAACCAACTCTTACCCAAATCCTGCGTTCCTTAATAGTATCTATCCGGAAGTTTGCACAAATAGTTCTTGCGCGGCTTGTGGCGAAGTTGCTACTTTGCCTCACGTGCTTTGGGAGTGCGGGTCACTGGGCCCGACGTTCATCTAGGAAAAGTGGGACACGCTCCTGCGAAGTCCCGCCTTCGAAGATCAAATCTTGGCCGTCCGGTGTGCCCGTGATCGAGCCGGCAGGCTAGACCTGTCGGTTTTGTCGTGAGATTAGCCAGGTGCGCGTTTTGTCGCGTTTTGCCGGACCAAATAAAACTCACTCACTCACTCACTCACTCACTCACCCATTCACTCACTCACTCAAGCATGACCTCGAGTCTGGTGCTGCTACTGACGCTGGTGCTTGCTTGCTTGCTCGTGTCTTTCTTCGTCGTCTCTACTTCCCTACGTTCGCCCCCCGAGGAATAGAGGAGACATTCTGGCGACTTAAGGCGTTAGTAGTATAGCCGGGTCATAATAGGGCTTGATGCGAGAAACGTGGGCGATTTCTCGGCCACGACAACACAAGTCGTCAGGTGTTGTCAAGGGCTCGACCTCGTATAATTGACGGGAGAAGTACGAACAAGAATGCGGTAGGGGCCGTGATAACTTAGAGTACAGGCCAAGAATATTTGTAGGGACCCAGAGCCAAACAAGGGCACCCATTTATAAAATAGCACTTAGGTCCACGCTCGTGAAGGAACGAGCCAACTGTCGGCAATCTTCTGCGTACCTGGCAATATCGAAAATCGTGTACACGCACGCAGTGTCAGGTGTGGAAGGAAGCATCGTGTCTAGCATGCATGATGGCTCGTGTCCGTATAAAAGAAAAGAACGGTTAGAATCCCGTGGTCACTTTTGTTGCAGTGTTGTATATACGCATATGTGATGAAAGGAAGGACGGCGTCCCAGTTTGCCTGGTCGGATGCGGCGTACATCGTTAGCATATCACCGAGCAGAACTTTGTGATATGGAGTAGCCGAGGCAATAGGCACCTCCACCTCTCCACAGCAAAACAGTTAAAACAGTTAAAACAGAGAGCGTGGTTAAATGGTTCGGTTATGCCATTTATTTGAGGTTGATACGCAGTCATTTTGCGAAGAACGATGTTACACTGAACGAGCAATGCTTCGACGGCTTCGGATGGAAAAATAAGCCCTCCGTCGCTCAGAAGCTTGCGGGGTGCGCCGTGGTGCAGGACGAAGTTGTGTAGGATGAAAAACGCAACTTCTCTGGCTGTGGCTGTGGGGAATCCTGCCGTTTCTGCATAACGCGCAACACGTAAAATGGTCTACGCCGACGATGATCCATCTATTCCAAGAAGTGGTCGAGGGAAGCGGGCCGTACAAATCCATGTCGACACGGTCAAATGGACGCGCCGACCACGGGAGAGGTTAAAGTGTACCGGCGGCTCTTGGAGGAGGAGCCTTTCGTCGCTGACCGGCAGTACAAACACGGATATAATTGCACACAAATGGATACATTACGCGACAATAGTACCTCTAACGCACGTGGGTGTAGGTGTTGAGAACACCAGCGTGAGCGCTTCGCAGATCGGCGTAGAAGGCAGCACACATTTGAATGCGCATGTGGCGAGGTATCACAAGCAGCCACCAGATGCGTTATTCCGCCGATAGAGGAGACCATCTCGAGTGGCGAAATCGGGCGCTTGATGACGCTTGATGAAACTGGTGGATCCGCCAGAGAGTAGAGCACATAGCAAACCCACGTATGCTTGCGTTGCTTCAATGGCATGTCGCTGATGTCGACTGGCGAGAAGGAAACGAATGGTGAAGCCCTGGCGGATGCTAAAGGTGAACGTGAAAGAGCGTCCACGTCAGAGTGCTTGCGACCTGATTGGTACGCAACACGAAAGTCGTACTCTTGCAGCCTGAGCGCCCAGCGACAGAGTCGTCCCGACGGATCTTTCAACGACGAGAGCCAACACAGAGCGTGGTGATCAGTGACGACGTCGAAACCATAAAGATATGGACGGAACTTAGCCAAATCCCATTATGGCAAGTTATTATTTTTCCATGTACTGTCTTTTATTCGTCCGAGCGCTTCCCAACATAATTCATTATGGTAACAGCCAGTTGTCAACGTCGTCAAGTGTGGCACATAATCTGCCTAATCCTGGCCGTATCAAAAGGCTCATCGAATCGATACGTTCCGTCACCGTATTTTTCTAACTATTGATGAGCAATCTCTTTTCCCTATTTTATATAACAATGGGTTCTACATGTCTGATCGATATTCGTCAGAATATACAAGTGAAATGGAAGGTATGATGGAATATAGGTAGTTACAGGAATGGAACGCGAGGACAAAATCTGGCACCGACCACGGAGTAACTAATACTTGTCACAACGGCTTGGCCCTTCAAAGTAGCCTTCCTCCATCTCACACTTCAAGACTGCTGACAGATCAACCAACACGTGGAGTGACTCCTCACAAAAGCGTTTAGTTCCTGCAGGGGCATGGTGGGCACAAAAAAAAAAGTGGTGTTCTTAACTCCTCCGAGTGCTCCTCCGCTGGAGTGTTCATATTGTGTCGCGTCGGTGGGCTCTAGAAGTAAGGTTATCACTACAAAGTTTTAGAAAAATACGGATCTTCATTTTTCAATGTTTTTTTTTGTCAGAACTGTTTTCTCAGTCCTTAGATTCTTGTTCTTTACCACGTGACTGGAAGGTGGACAAGGTGGTACCATTATTTAAATCTGGTGATGCACAGTCAGCTTTGAATTACCGACCGGTATCCCTCACCAGTGTACCTTGTAATCATTTTGAACACATAATTTATTCTCATCTCGTAACCTTTGTAGATACAAATTCATTCTTCTCTCCCAATCAACATGGCTTCGGTAAACATTTTTCATGTGAAGCACAACTGATTTCCTTTACGCATGACCTTTTCGCGGCATTGGACAGTGGAGTAATCGTTGATATTATATTCTTGGACTTCTCTAAAGCTTTTTATCTTGTTTCTCACCAGTTACTCTGTTTTAAGTAAAGTAATTAAACATTGATCGCAATATATTAGGATGGATCGAATACTTTCTCGCTAACCGAACTCAGTTTGTCACCACCAACAACAATAATTCACAAGAGCCTCCTGTCACTTCTGGTGCGCCACAGGGGTCAGTTTTGGACCCTCTTCTTTTTCTTGTTTATATCGATGACCTGCCTAATATTATATCAGCAATTAAATTATTTGCTGACGACTGTGTTATTTAAAGAAATGCTTGCACTAATACTGACGCCTATTTCCTGCAACAAGATCCTTATAAAGTTTCTTCCTGGTGCACTAGATGGGACATGCGATTTAATGCTAATAAACGCAAGGCAATGCGAGTTTCTGGCACCTCTACTTCTATTGATGTTCCTAAATACCTAATTAACGATAGTGTCTTAGAAAGTGTTTCATGCTACAAGTCCCTTGGTGTAATATTTACCTCTAATCTATTATGGCACACTCATGTTGCCTACGTAACTAACAATGCCGATCGCACTTTTGGCTACCTGCGAAGACACTTTAAAAGGGTTCCTTTGGCTCTTGAACTCATTCTATATAAAACCCTTGTTCGTCCTAAGCTCGAGTATGCAAGCGCTGTATGGGATCCCGGCGCTAACACACTAGTTCAAACCTTAGAATCCGTTCAAAATTGAAATGCACGTTTCATCCTCTCAGACTATGAACGCACATATAGTGTATCATTTATGAAAACAGTTTTGGGCCTTTCACTTCTTTGTTCGCGCAGGAAAGTGTCCCGGCTTGTTCCTTTTTAAATAAAATTTACCAGAATTCACAACTAAAACAAGACCTTCTTTCCAAACCACACTACATGAGAAGCGACCATTCCCATAAAGTCCTCTTTCACATAACAAATTTTTTCCCGACTCATTTATTCCTCGAACGATCGAACGAATGAAACTCTCCTCTATGGCCCAATTGACCAATGCCACTGCTTTTAAGGCTGCTGTTGAATGCGATGTTTACTCTTAGCAGCATTTTCTTATATTTCTTATTATGTGTACTCTAGCCCACTCTCTTTTGTAACTTCTTCGGGCCCTGAAGGTACTGAAATAAATGAATAAATAAAATACATTGATTGCTCACAGCCTGCTGTGTATCAGTTGAAACCCGTCGTAGCCTTTAATATTTTTGTGTATCTTACGGCATTCCTCATATTCTGCCACACAAGCTTAAAAGGTACAGAAGGGGTGACCATTGCCACAGCGAAACCATTGTGAGAGCATAACAGAATAAACAGACGAGGACAAGCGCACAACGACAGATAGCTGCAATGGTGCTTGCCAAGAGCTTGTTCACATGGTGAGAATCTTGAGAGGACACGTAGAAAAATGAGCCCAATGTACAAAAGATGAACTTCGAAAGAGTTGACTGTTGGGTGAGGAAGTGCGCCTGTTCTCGTCTGTTTCTCCTTGTGTCGTGTTTTGTTGCACTCTCACAATGGTTCCGATGTCAACGCACCAAGTCGCCCAACAGTCAACTCTTTTGAAGTTCATTGCCGCCAGAGTTTGCAAAAACTGTGTCAGGTTTCGACAAACGGCCCTTCTCTTTTCGTCCCATCTTAATGTTCTTCATCGTTTAGCTATTTTTATCCTTGTGGTAGTGGTCTTCAGAGAACGAAAGTTTCTCTTGTTTTGCCGTAGAAACGAAGATTGTCCCACTATTCATTCATACATTGTGTAACATAACCTAACTTCTGGTAGTCTATTAGAGGTAGGGAATGTTTACCAAGCGATGGGAAACGTGGTCGAGGAAGGCATTGAGTTTATACTGAGTGACAAAATTAAGAAGTTCGCAGGGGTAAAATTGAATCAACTGGCTGATAATGATTGAATCTAAAGATAATCGGGAGGGCGCTCCTCTTGCTGTGAATTTTTACAGGTAGTAATTATTATTTATTTATTCAATTGGCAATTACAATGCTCTCAACGCCCATCGGACGTTATAGAGGTGTGGGTAGGACATAGATAAATTAACATCACTAAATACAAGGCTTTGACTACACTAAACTCCTAAAAAAATGTGACACATTCAGCACATAACAAGTGCACCCAGTTCAAGCAAGTGAAAACAGCAGGACCTGAAGATATTCTTGCAGAAGGAAGGGGGGAGGGGTAACTGTCCTTGAAGCATTATTTTTTCACTGTGTTCTGATCGAAAGTGTCTTTTTGGAAGAAGGCGGAGGGAACGAAAAGTAATTCATCCCCCCTTAACCTCTCCCTCCTTATATACCCGAGATTCCTGCGTGCGCCTTGCGTGTGGCTGCGTGCTTCAAGCACTTTCTCCGTATGAAAGCATGACGTCACCGGCGAGATAGATGCCCAACAAGGAACCCCTTTCGCGATGGCTGGAGCATTGCTATGCAGCATACTTAAGTAGGTTTGAAAACGAGGATGAGCTTATACGATACAGACTGTAGTATCCTTGACCAAAACCGAGAAGCAATCGGCCCTCTGTCTTGTTTTGTATTTCCTACGATGTCGTCCCTAATCGTTGCTACCAACGAGCAGCTGCACTTATAACGAGGCCATCGTTCAATCTGTGTATTTATTTGCACATACATTTCCCACTCATCATGAATGCTGGAAGCGAAGAGTGCCTACCGATACGGTTACCTACCGATAAGTAATCAGGCCAACACGAAGTGAGTGGGCACGAAATGTACAACTGTATCGCATCGATCATCATGCGTTACTCTCTTCCGTCGCAATGTAATAATTTACAGCGAAACAAATGCGCTCGCATTCCACACAGAGCGGCATGGGCAACATAATAGACGGTCGGAACCGGAGGTGGAGAGCTTTTTTATTCGGAGTAGAGGTTGGCTCTCCCGTGCGCCAACCACTAATCGCGTGTTAAACCCACGAAACCAATAACCGATAATTAAGGGCTTCGGATGAGTGATGCCGCTGACATAAATGATAGCGTCAAGTAGACGTCAGTTTTTATTACCGTTATCACGACACTTCAGCGTGTACTCTGAAAGAGCGAGCACAAACGACCGCTTTGCGTCCTTTGCGTCCTGCATTCGTTCAGCAATGATTCCTTACCAGCCCAAGCACGTAGAGAGAAAGAAGGTTTGGAAAGCGTGCTGGTTTGACTACCCAACGCAAACTGTGTAAGCACGCATGCGCAAAATGCATTTACAAGAGTCGCAACGTGTCTGAACGAGAGTGAGTGTAGGTTACAACAAGAAAAAAAAAAACGCAAAAAACGCCCTTTTTGAGAAATATATAGCGCTTTCCTTACCTTGTCGCTTGCTAATAGTCCCCGCATATGCACGAAGTGAATGATTATTAGTTGACGAAGCAGAGGGATCACTTATCCGCGCTGTACCACGTAGAAGAAACGTTGCAAACGTTCCTGTATGCATACGTTTTCTCTACGCGGTTGAAAGTGCGTGATAAGACTTTGGTGGATAGCAGTAGCCGTACACAACGTTTTGGGCGTTTTGCAGCCGCTTCCCGCGCCCTTACCGCCTTTGGTCCACTTGCAGGCGTCGACGTTTCTGCAGCTTCGCGAGCCCTCACAGCCTCCGGGTCCGCGCCTCCGGGTCCAGGTACATGCTACCGTGCCGCTGCAGTTTCACAAGCTCTCATCTCTGGGTCAGCCTGCTGGCGCTGCCATATCGCTTCAACTTCGCGAGCCAGTATCTCTGGATCCTCATGTCTGCGTTGCCGTGCTGCTAGCACTCTGTGAGCCATCAGCTACGAATGCAGTTCCGCCACCTTGTCTTCATTGTGATGGTGTCGAAGAGAAAGAGGTCCCGCCAGGAGCAACCACTCGCCGCAGCACCGGTAGCCTACGCTCGAAACACTTAGTCACGCCGACGAGGGAACAAGGCTCGACCCTCAAGAGCTTCGCGCTTAAAATTGAAGTGGTCGATTTACGGCCGTGCGAAGAGCTCACGTCCTCCGGAAACCACTTGGCCTACCGGTGCCTACGTAGGCTGAGCCCCCGACTCACACTGGGGGATTTCACTTTTGGCCGTAGTTTTTTTGGACCACAATAAAGTTCTTGCCGCGCCAGGCCGTTCGGTGTTCATGGACCTCCATTCTTGAAGAATGATTAAAGTTGCTGGTGATACACGTATACATATTCTTTCAGCCACACCAAAGCAGAAATGAAATGCCAAAGAAGCGTTTGTCCACCGGCATAGCCTAGCTGTTATGGTACTCGACCGCTGACTCCAAGGTAACGGGATTACATCACGGCTGAGGCAATCGCACTTTATGGAGGCAAAACACCAGAAGCCCGTGTGCTCAGAATTATGCACACGTAAAAAAATATGCAGGGGTGCGGAATTTTCCTACGCCCGCCACTACAGCTTTTTTCATAATGATATCATAGTCTTTGGGACAATAAAACCCAAGGATTAGGTATTTTCATTGTTGCGGGTTGCGTGAGCTCCAAGACAGCAAGGCGTCTTAACCGCTTAGATACGCCGTCTCCGTAACTTGCGAACGCCATGAACGTTATCTGATTATCTTCTTCCATCATAAAAAATACACACATATGGTACTGCTAGAGCTTCGCCTCTGTCAGAAAATATCAGATATTTTGTGGAATGCCAGACGTCTTCGATGAATAAAGAAACGCAACCTATGCACCAAGCTATCCACGCTGCCGAGACGCCAAACAACTTTTAAGGCTAAACCATTGTAATGTCGAATTTCCCCTTGAACGAAACTTAGCGGGTGAATAAAGAGATACAAAAACCCACGCGATCTACACCACTGATTATTTGTTGTTGTTAGTTCATATGATTACGTCATCACATCACTTTGAGCTGTGACGTCATGAAATAGCAGCGTAGCTTGGTCTAAGGCGGGCATAAATAACCCGAACAAAGTGTGACAGTGGGGGAGCTGCCGAAAGCTTCACCGAGCGAGCAACAATGCTATTGGCTGAGATAGTCAGGGTAATTTAATGCGTAACTCCAAAACTGTGGCTCGCTACGTCTTGCAAGAAGTATGTTCCTCAATTGAGTCACTTCATGAGTAACGAAGTGAGTGGGAGGTTTTAACCAACAAGTGTCAGAAGGTGCCATGCTGCCAAACTTTTTTCTGGTCTCTGCTACGCGTCCCACGCTTCTTTTTGTGCATATGTGAGTGACATAATGTTGTCACCCGCTTACATCCGTTGCACGACTCTTGTACATGTATCAAGCAACAAGCAAACTATAATCAACTCGACCACAAGCTCAACAAGTATGCAGCTTCGTGGTATTCCGGCGGACACTACGTTCCCGGCTCAGCTTAATCGTTCAGTGCAGAATAATATACATTTATAGAGTCACCACGTGACCGACGTCTCATGTATTACTAGTTCACGCCTCTCGTAAGACTTCACGTTTTGCTGGCCGGTAGTGTAACGGTGTGCACCAGTTATCAACCCCTCGGAGGTCTCAAAAATTCTACCTCAACAGCCTCTCCAGCGCCTATCGCGAGCGCTTTGCCACAGCTCGGCTTTTTTATGGCTTTCTGTAATCCAAGCGTTTACACGAGGTGGCAATGCTCGAGAACATTTTTATTATTTATTTTATTTCTTCGCGTGCTTTTATACCTTTCTCGCTGGGAAGCGTAACAGCTTTCGCATCTCGCCCTTGACTTTCGTCGGCATAAGAGAGGCGCTGATCCCACGCCCTCTGCGGTGAAGTGTGGCCGGGTCCGCACTTTCATTACTGCCGCACAAATTGCCTGTCAGAAGTATCAACACCCAATCTATCTTCTTCCATTTGCTAAGGCGTAATCTCACAAAACACACACCTTTCGGGTCAATGCTTCTAGGTTTGTGCATCGAGCGTTTGCCGGTGTACCAAAGAGAGAGAGAAAATTTAATGCGGAAAGGCAGGGAGGTTAACCAGAAAACATATCCGGTTTGCTACCCTGCACTGGGGAAGGGGTAAGGGGAGACAAAAAAAAGGGGAAAGGGAGGAAGAGAAGCACAAACACACACATACACACTCGCACACAGTAGTGTCACAATCGTTCAACGAGGCGGGTCGCTCGCAGAAACTTCATCAGCGCCTTCGTTGCTTTCTGGCGTGAAGCTCGATCTTTCCGACATTCCAAGATTGACTGCTCAGAAAATGGCTGGTCGTCGAGGCGAGCAAACACTGCTGAGAGGGACTGTCGCTGAGAGCTGTACTGGGGGCACTGACATAAAATATGTTCAATTGTTTCGTCATTGTCGCAATGGTCGCATGTAGCGCTGTCTCTCATTCCGATGCGGCAGGCAAAAGCGTTCGTGAAAGACACCCCAAGCCACATACGGCAGAGAAGGGTCGTCTCGGATCGGGGTAGGCCAGATGGAATAGTAAGTCGTAGGCATGGGTCCAGGCGGTGAAGACGGGTGTGGAGAAAACCGGGCGTATTCCGCATAGACCTTGCGACATCCTGCGCAAGCCTATTAATCTTTGCTGCTGCGTCGCTTCTTGATAGTGGAATAGGTTCCATCACTCCATTTTCGTGAGCATTCTTAGCTGCATTGTCGGCATGTTCGTTACCGATGATGCCGCAATGGCCTGGTAACCACTGAAAAGATATGTCATGTCCTTCGTCTATTAGGTGATGGTACAGTTGTCGTATTTCGAGCGCCAATTGGTCTTGAGGTCCACGACGTAGAGCATTGTGTAGACATTGGAGAGCTGGTTTCGAATCAGTAAAAATGCTCCATTTTTGTGGTGTCTCTTGGTCAATCCTGCGGAGTGCGCTGCGGAGTGCCGCGAGCTCCACGGCTGTCGATGTCGTCTTGTGTGACGTTCTGAACTGGATGGTTTCGGCTCTTGCTGGGAAGATCACAGCTCCTGCAGATCCTCCAACAGTTGTCGAGCCATCCGTGTAAAGTTTGACATGATCTTTGTATTCTTCGTGTAGCATGAGTAGAATCATCTGCTTTAAAGCTGGCGCCGAGAGCTCCGCCTTCTTGCGAATCCCCGGCACTGTCAAGCGCAGTTTTGGTCGGTCCAAGCACCAAGGAGGTGTTAGTATCCGTTCCGGAGGCGTGTAGACTGTTGGAAGGCACTCACGGAAAGTCAATACTCTCTTACAGAAGGAGGCACTCGGTCGATCTTCTGGAAGCGAAGCTAGGTGGTGGGCAGGGGCGCGAGCAAGGTGTCTAATATGAGCTCTAAGCACCTCCAAAGTAATGTGCACTGTGGCCGGATGATCTTTGGCGATTGCGATGGTTTCCGCTGTTGATGTACAGCGTGGTAATCCAAGACAAACTCTGAGTGCCTGGCCCTGGGCGTTTTCTATTGTGCGTATACTGCTTTTGCAAGCGTTCGTCAGAACCGGCAAGCTATACCGCAGGTACCCCAGAAACAGCGTTTTGTACAAATGCAACATCGCGTGCACTGATGTGCCCCACGTTTTGCCTCCGAGGAACTTGAAAAGTTGTGCGATGGCCGTTAGGCGCTTCTTTAGAGTGGCCATATGGGGACTCCAGCAGAGATTTCGATCGATCGTGACCCCCAAAAACCTGTGGGTCCTGGCGTAGCAGACACTGTGTCCATCGATGGCGATGGGATATGACGTCATTGCCTTCCGCGTGAACGCGACCAGCGCCGATTTCTCAGGAGAAATCTCGAGGCCTTGTTCTCTAAGGTACGCCGATATTGAATTCGCTGCTTTCTGGAGTCTCGCACGTACCTGAGGACGTGTTACACCTGATGTCCAGGCACAAATATCATCTGCATAGAGAGATATCTGCACGGAATCTGGTATGCGTTCAACGAGACCGATCAGAACCAGGTTGAACAGTGTGGGGCTCAATACACCACCTTGAGGAACACCACGGTGTGTATAATGTTCAGAAGTCGGCCCATCATCAGTTTGCATAAACAATGATCTCATATGTAGGTAGCATTGGATCCAGCGGTACACTCGCCCACCCAAACCAACTGACTCGAGGGCGTCAAGTATGGCTTCGTGAGAAACATTGTCATATGCTCCTTTGACATCTAAAAATAGTGCGACAGATAACCGTCTGCTCATTTTCTGGTGTTGTACGTATGTCACCAGGTCAATGACATTGTCAATGGAGCTCCGAAGACGACGAAAACCGGCCATGGCGTCTGGATATATTCTATGGCGTTCTAGGAACCACTCGAGTCTGGCAAAGATCATTCGCTCCATCAGCTTCCCTACGCAACTAGCCAGCGCTATTGGGCGGTATGATGTCAGCTCTAGAGGCGATTTTCCAGGTTTGAGAAGTGCAACCAACCGGCTTGTTTTCCACTCTCTGGGGACCGTTCCATCTCTCCAAGACTCATTGAATACTTCCAGCAAAGCACTTCGTGCTCGATCACCGAGATTGCATAATAGGCGGTATGATATGCCATCCGGCCCAGGCGATGACGATCGATTGCATGAAGCAAGAGCCACATTCAGTTCTTCCATTGAAAAAGGCAGGTCCAGGTGCGGGTCCAGTGAATGTGGCGTGTAATCAGCAGTAAGGGCTTCTGTGCAATTTGGCGGGCCCGCAATCTTCCTACAAAAGTCTTCCGCTACCTCGATATCCCTTCTATTTTGGAAAAGGGCCAAGGCTTTAAACGGAAAACGTTGTTGGGGAAATATGCGTAGGCCTCGCACGGTTCGCCATATTTGAGAAAGCGGTTTGCGAGGGTCTAGACTCGCGCAAAATTTCGCCCACCGTTGAAACTCCAGTTTGTCTATACGACGCTGGATCTTCT